AGACAGTTTTTTCTCATTCGCTTTCAAGCTCGGCAATTTGCTCGGCTCCTTAAAATCTCCAAGGCATAACTTTATTTAACCCCCTTCCTTTACGAGGTTATTGAGTGGTTATTAATCCCACCCCAACATTACAAGGTGGTGCCCCCGCCGTGATGGCTATGTTGGTTTATAATCCCCATTAACTATAGTTATAAATACCATAAACCCACTAGGGTTCACCAACTTGGCTAAGTACGGGGCACCACCGTCTAGAAGAGTCTTTGAAAGTGGAGGTTTGAAGCATCCAAAGTCGATATGGGTGAATCTGAACATGGGGGATTCGCCCCCCAACGGCCATATTCATAGGGAAAATGCCCCGAGCGGATTTTCGGGGATCCTATTTTAGGACTGAAATGGAGATAGGGCCATCGGCTACTGACAGACAGCAACCAAAAATGGTGGCAATCAGAAGCCATTCACATTGCCACACTCGAGCAATGCCCAAAGCTCCAGTTGTTTGAAGGTTACATACTTTGTGGCTCACTCCACTTACTCACTGGATAGTAAGTGGGGTAAGAACCTTCTGCCAAATGGCAGAGCCCCACTAGTGGGGGAACCAGTTACCAAGTTTGATAAAACTCCAAGTAGGGACGACAGCTTCGGTGAAGTTGGCACCACTCAAGCCTAAAGTGAGAGCAGCATTCTATCACCAAGGTATTGGCGTCCCAAAAAGAGAAAAGAACAGGATTGTATGAATTATATTAATATATTAATATATTAACATTAACATATTAACATATTAATATATTAATATATTAGTATATTAATATATTAATATGTTAATATACATATAATAATATATATATAATAATAATTATAATAATAATATTGATAATAATAAGAATAATAATAATAACAATAATAATAACATATATATATATATAAATATAATACCACCAATTCCCAGCTCCCAGTTCATTGGCTATGGGACAACGAATTTAGCCAGTAAAGGGAGTTAGCCGTTACCAGGTTACCAGCAAAATTATAGTCAAAATTGATACTTCAACCAATCAACAAATACGGTGATAGAAGTAATCCCTGGTACCTGTTTTATTGTTTCTTGGCTTTCAAACCGCCCCACACTGGAAAGTCAAACATGATGAACCATACCCAGCTAAATACATACATTATAGCCTATATAGCAAATATGATATATTATATACCGTGGAATTACCACGCAAGTTTGCTGGTCAACAGTTAACCCTCCCATGTTGTTGAATAGACCATCAAATGTCTGCACACGTGTACAAAGTTATATATATATATTTATATAACTATATATATATATATTTATTTATTTAAATATTTCATGCTTAATCATCAAAATTTCGAAAAACTGCGGTTTCTATGGGTCTTCCCTTTTTTCAAACACAAAACCCATCAGCCCAACTCGGAAAACAAACTCGGCCCATTCGCCATTCGCCTGGTCGGGATATTCCACCCGCTGGAGCCAGTATAAGGCGGGCAATCTCCATCGATTGCTGGCCCAGGTATATGCAATCCTTGGAAACCAGGTCCGAGACCCGTTTCATTTGGATTGTACCCATTTTTTGGGGGGTAAAAAATCAACCTATCTATCTGGATCCAATGTGAAATACCACAAGCCTAGTACTTAAATCAATTATTTGTTCACTGTCCAATTCGTTTGAACCATTCCAACATGAATCTTGTGTTATGGGGATGCAATGAAGATAGGTTGTACAACCAACAAGATGATCTGGGTTCACGTCCCAAAGGGGAATGTCACCGGATTGGCCATGTGAATAGGAACAAATATGATTAACCAGTAGATCTGCACGGTTTTCCCTTCAGTGTTCAAACAGAACAATGAGTTCTTGAGTCACCCCCCAAAAACGGGTGTTCGATCAATTTAGACAGGTAAACCATCCTTCAACCGGGGGAACACATCTGAAATGATTTCAAATCATCAAAACTTGACCTAAAACTGCCGTGGCCACGCTGAAAGTGGAGAAATCCTGGGGAAATATTGTTGGAACCTCTGACGATGGCAATCATCTAAGCCCGGGGAATCCTCGATGGGTAGTTTGATAAGTTAAATTGTTTTCAATTCTGATCGAGGAACAAATCAAACATTGAAATGTTGTTTGCATGGTACCATTGACCAAATCGCAGTGACCTCATTACCACATCACCGTAAATCGTGGCTAGTATGGGGACACCGGTTACCAAACCCGGGGTTAACAAAAACTCTTCTACAGCATCATTAGAAACTCTTTTGGAGTATCACTGACCAAAACAATTTTTGACGGCTAAAAATATACTGGTTACACAAATATATAATGTAATCATATGTAATTATATAATATAAATATGATAATTGATCAAAATTCCTTTCTCCAGGAGTGGCCATTTTTTGCAAATAAACAAATTACTTTCGCAAAACTTTCGCGAACTCCATGTTTATCTTTCGCAGAACCCATGTTGAGCAACAACTCCTTGTATGAAGATTCACTCATCACCTGCCAAATCACACCAAATTATCACGGATCACTTCTTCATAGCCTTGTAGACGTGCAGCTAGCATCACGGAATCCCCTTCTCAGGACAGGTTGTTGCTGATTAGGCAATTTTTATACAAGGCTTACTGGGCCACCCCCTTCAAAATGAACTTTAACTTTCGCCCACTCCTTCGCAGAACTTTTGCGGAACTTACACGAAAATACCCCTATCCACAGACCCCAGACATCAGCAGGGGCGCATCAGAGGAAAAGAAAACACCAGGGGCCTTGGTGTTTGGCTCTCGCAGAGCCTCACTTTTGGAAGCTTCGCTGCTGCGTTTGGAGCTTGCTTCTTGAGACTTCAGAAAGCAACGTTAGCAGTACCAGCGGCAGGTGCAAGGATGTGCTTCAAGACCGCTGTATTTGGCTGTGGCGAAGCCTCACCTTCGGAAGCTTGGCTGCTACCTATGAAGGGGAAGGTAAATGTGCGGTACCATTCTCCTGCTGGACCCCCAGGCGGCAGGTGGTGGTAGCCCTTGACAAGCTGTAACGTATACAATGATAATGATTCAAAATATCGATTTTTCGCGAAACTTTCGCGAATAAAAAACTTCTTTGGCGAACTCACAAAAAACTTTCGCGAGGGTTCTCAGCATAACATGAGGTCTTCGCAATTAGAACTCTTTACAATCAAGGACCTTTAGATCGATCACCATATATGTCATATATATATATATATATGTATATATATGTGTATATATATATGTATATATATATGCTACTTCCCAAAACAACTTGGTTGTAATAAAATGCTTCAACAGATGCAGCGGTACTTAGAAAGAGCCTCGCCATTAAAAACAGTCTCTGAATGGATGCAGTACTCTTTTAAACTAATATTGTATTCTCAATATTTCTGAAGCAAGTGTGGTAGTGCAGCATCACTCTCTGCAATATGTGTTCATTCAAACGATTGGCGCATGTATGGAAAAAAGTGTAGCATTCTTTTAAACCGACAAATACCTGAACCTAGCATATAAATATATACATATGTACTAAAATACGTATGTGTATTCGCTTGAACACTAGAAGGGAATCTTTTCGGAGATCGCGCCTTCACAAACTAATCTGCAGGATGGACTTCGGAATTTTCAGATACATAGATGCATAATAAAATTTGGGTTTATCAATAATGATAATAAAGGGTGGTATTCCAAAATGGCAGTTCCAAAATGTCGGTTAAAAAAATGAATTAACATGACAGCACACCATATGATTTTAGGCACAACATTTTCAGAGAAGAGGTGACCTAATAAGAAACTCGGGGTAGTTAATAATATTGGGTATACTCCGGTTTTTGGGATGGACCCCCGAAGGACTGTTCCGGGGTGTAAAAAAAACACATTTACGACATGTCTGCATCTGAGTTTCTGCTGGTCCCACGCCTGACGTTTTTACGTGGGTCACTGGAGGTGACTGTTCCGAAGGACGTTTATTTCACAGGGCGTTGGGAACAGTCCACAATAAAACATGTCGTCAATTTCCAGTAACAAACGAAAAATGGTTTGAAGCATATGTGAAATCCCAAAGCTGAAAGACCTATCTCAAACTACCAAATTCATTGGGTTGTACCATGTTGTACCTATGTTAAGGATGGAAAACCCACCAATTCACGGGGGTGTACTTATGTCAAGGATAGAGAAATATGATTGTTTTCGTTGTATAATGTCATTAACATTGGCAAACGCTTTGGGCACATAATTTCAATTGGTTTGCGTTGGTGTTGCTCTTGGGCCAACTCAAGCAATCAGTACCAACCATTGCAGTACCGGAGAATGGCAATGAACCGTCAATCAATGGTGCACACCCATACCAATACAACAAAAACGCATTTTACCGTCCATGAGTATCGTTAGTCGTCCATTTGTTCATTGCGAATGTACAATGCGTCTGCACTCCCATGCGCCTTGTTGAACTGAAAGCCACCCCAGTCGTGGTTTCCAAGCCTTGCCCGCGCAAAAAATGCATCCCTGATTTTTTCTGGCTTTCGAAGCTTAATGAAGCTTACTGAACCATGAACTCCATGAACTTTCACGGGTATCGAGCGCAAATGTGAATTTGCAAAGCCGGTCCCCTGATTTGCTGTGACATTAGTTGTATAGTCGTTGTTTTTTGCAAAACAAACAACCACATGAGAACCAAGCCGTTGTAAGGAGCAATGGGGGGGCAAAATATGTTCCAGCAATGAGAAGCAAAACATCTAATGATTTCGGTCTTTGTTTCACTGTCTGGCCAGCAAGGTCTTTCAGGGGCAAGGTTGGGCGATCAAGGAACAACAGCACAAAAAAATGCAAAACTATTCTGCAGCTACTGCTACTCATCTCAAACAAGGTTGGCTTGTAGTTTGGTGCCAGCACGCTGCTGCAGCGCCGTAGCTGGCAAGCCTAGCTATCAATTTTGGCGAGAGCAGCCCGCTTGCCAATCAAGCATGTTTCGATTGGCCGACTATGACCTGAGAAACAAATATTTCATATTGTGACCCAATCGCAACCCGCTTGCCACCACCAGCCAGCCATCTTCCGCATCTTCCAAGTGACACACTGAGCCAGGGCTTTCCGTCCAATCCAGGGCCAGCATAAATGCGCTCAAAAATTTCCTCGGTTTTGGCTAGCGGCTGGCGTGTGGGATCAACCACGGCGCTTCTGTGATGGCATCTGTGGCTGCCCAGATATCCCTGCTGATCGTTGGGACGTTAACCACTTGACTTTGGGTGTGCTCTTCGTTTGTCATGAAATTGTAGCGGCAATGCAGTGCAAATGCAGATGATACCTAGCAGGGGCGGAGTTGATCGGAGCCAACAAGTGGCTCCCCTGTTCCTTGGCTTGAATTTTTTTTTTTGTAGCATTCCCTGTGGTTATCAACCAGTTGCCAATCACACATCCTAGCTTCAGTGAACAGTGAACATCCCAGTAGGAAAAAAAAAAGTCCAGGTTATTAGCTGGATCTCACATGTGATCAGTGCAACAAACATCTCCCTCGTCCGAGAAAAGTCCTATCTCTACAAAGTGGTGCTTCCCAGCGTTGGCTGATGTCGGGTTTAAACATCTTTAAACAATAATAAGGTTTCAAAAATCCTGTGGGTACCCCCAAATCATCCATTTATAGATTGATTTTCGTGGAGTTTACATAAATCATCCAGCGGGCATGGGGCTTCACCTAATGGTGACCCGAAAGCAGTCCAAGGGTAAGCATAAAATGGTGACCCTTCGGTGGTGCTCCAGATCGGTAAATGGTGACTTATAACCAGCAAAAATGAACATTTATGATACTTGATTAGGTAAAGATGACTACTCCGATTTCACTAGGGTTTATGGCAATTGCAACTATAGTTAAAGGGGTGTAGTCCACCAACAAACATCACTGGGGGGAGCCCCACCTCGTAGCATCATCTCAAGTACAATAATTCACAAAACAACATAAGACTCATCTAGGTAAATTACCCTCTGGTAAACGTTTACATAGCTATTGAAAATGACCATAGAAATAGTGGATTTACCCATTGAAAATGGTGGATCTTTCCAGTTTGCTATGTTAGCCCGTTTACCAGAGGATACAGGATTTCACCTGGTGGATCCAGCTGATTCATGAATATTGATGAAGCGAGATGGAAATACTGCTGTGCTTTCACGAACAAATAGCATGAATGTAGATGTCACTGGTGTATTCCCTTTTTTGATTCCATTGATTTTTTCATCCAACGAGTGCATCAGTGGATCAGTGTAGAATTCATGTCGTCGAGTCTACAAGGGAAGTCTCCACTGATCGACTGGATGGGTTCCTAATAGATTTGGTCTGGAACTGTCATGCTGTCATGGATATGATGAGCATGGGTGAATTCACCCTAGTATCCGAGTATCCTGCTCTTCCAAACCCGAAGACCCCGAAGCATGGAGGGAAGACTCAACATGTTGGGATGAGAGTCTCGAAACAACAACCATCATTGGAAAAGCTTACTCGATTCCCTACGAAGAAGAATCAAAGAAGGTGATTTAGCTCGATGTTGCAGTCCCCAAAGGAAAACAAATACAAAGATTTCACCAATCAAAAACATTCCAGTCAGATTTCCGTCCGTGGACAGATTCACTCGATGCTTTTCTGAAACCCAAACAGACGATGTCGGGAAGATTGTTCGGTCAGTTCACCGCGCGAAGGCCACCTTCACATCGATCTAACATTAGCCATTCTAGATCGATTCGACAATGGGTTGGTTTACAGGAAAATATAGAGGACGTTTTTCCCGAAATTTATAGGGTGGTTGTTGTATTTTGCCCAATTCATTTAATTTTCGGAATCTCAAAAAATGGATGATCAAATTCCGAACAAATGGGGAGCTTAGCCAGCAATCATGGTACGGCTTGACATGTGGATCTAGCTCAGCCCCTTTTTCAAAAACCATGGCTCATTTGAGGGTCCAAGATGGTCCAAGGTACCAACAATAGTGGCCAATCGAGCAGTGCTGCCTTCAACATCCTTCAACATTCCATTAAATACTGATTGGTGAAGGGGGATTCTCGTAATGGATGATGATAACCACCAATACATAAATGTTATAAAACATGTATAATGATTGATAGATATAGAAAGAAAGTATAATCTCCCAAACCATATCAGTCCAATATATATATACTAGATAGTATAATATAGTATAATCCCCCAAACCAATCAGTCATCAACCGGGCACTGTCTCGCAGCCACAGCTTCGGAAAATTGCTGCTGCGTCACCGCATTGATGCTGTGCATAGGGCTGCCACACCTCGGGTTGTGCAACGGTCCTAGGGCCTAGTGGTTTCGGCAAAAATATCGAAGAACACATGTGGATTCAGCAGACATATCTGATAAACATGTGGATGATTGTGGATGTAACCGAAACACTCGGAATTTAAGAATCAAAATGTACATTTCACCAAGAATTCATGAGAGTTTCGATAAAACAACTGAGGATATTGCCAATAGCACCTGTCTAAATCAAAATGTTGAGACCAGCACGATCCAAAGCTGGCCATAGATCTCCCAACTTAAAAGGGACAAAAGCATAGATTCGGATGCATCTCAAACAGAAACAAAACTGATGGTACTTGAAAACAAAGCACTGATTTTCACTGCGTCAATGAACATAGTGCAGCCTGAAAATTTATGTGCGTTTATCATGTTTGCCATTTAAATGTATAATTCTTGGGGTCTTCCCGAAAGAATGGGACAAATCCACGTATTTGGATCCTTTGGGGCAACATCATAGTCAACTTAAGGGACATCGAACTATCTGCGCATGAAAACAGGGTATCACACAAACCCAACCAACAGTTGTGATTTTTTGCTATGCATCACCCGATTTGGGGGTTCATAATTTTGAGCCAGTCCGAGTCCAAATTTTTGAAACTTGTCATTGAATCATTGAGTGAACATGATGGCTACTAATCCCTTCTAGTATCTTAGTATCAAATGCCCCTACGAAACCCTGGCTTAGTCTTGGATGCATTTCCAGGTCCCTTGTTGGCATTGAATATCATTGGATGGCTACAATGTGGTGCCGCCAGTTACAAGTCGGTTGATAACTCCGCTTCACTAGTGCGACATGTGACATCCCTACGATACACCCTCGTTATATCAACTTAGCTACCATAAATACAATATGTTCATCAATAAAAAGCATGTTTTTCTGGAGTAGCACATTTTTGTTGCTCACATCAAAACTGTATCCATCCTTTTACCTTTAAGCACCACTGTACGTATCACGATTCGGAAGTCCCCCCAAAATCCTCCATCCGTGCCGAAAGTCTCTGTGTTGATACCTGGGGCGGTGATCCAAAAGTGGATCTGGGGCAGTCAATGCTGACACCATGAAAAATCCTGAAACATGTGTGCAGTGGCTTCGATCTACCTCTGTTGGTTGATGTTCTTAGTTCAGGGATTATACTACCCTTTATATATTTGGGATTATAGTAATCCAAGTACGGGGAATCTCTATAAACCAACCAGTAAAATGGAATGACAGAGGGATTTGTCTCACACTGCTCATTTGAATTGAACTATGAAATTTAGGGATTTTACCACCTGGACAATGATGATGAAGATTTGGGTCCGGTCTGAGTCTGTCTGTGTACCCGGAAAATAGCATCAAGAGTATATAAATAATAATGATTAACCAATGGATTTCGAGGTACCTTGCTTTCAGACAACCGCTTATTTGTTTTCAAAAAACATGTCCGAGCCTTACTTACTGGATGATCTCTGATGAAATTATGGTTTTGGAGAAATCCATGGTTTTGAAACATGCCAAAACAGGGTGGTGTCCACTATGCTGAAAAAATGTGGTTCATCAATCTCATCATCCCATGATAAGGCATGCATTTTTCAGACATATATTCATACACCAATCAGATCAAATTGCTGAATATGTTGGTTATACCTTGCATTAAAACCATAAATTCTGCATAAATTGCCATCATTTTCCATTTGTCATGGCCTTTTGTTGTTTGCCACAAATGGGAACCATAGGGTTACCAACTCCTCTGGTTCATCATACCTCAATCTCAGACGCTCCTATATATACATATGTATAAACAGTGCAAATATGTGAAAAACATGTGTATATATAATATTTGTGTAATTTTAAAATAGTTTAGGTATATATATATAAACAAATAAATGCACACATAGATATATCATATACATGTTTTACATGTTTAACCATTACACATATATATGTATAATATATATATATATACACACACTACTTGTAGGCACCGAACCCCCGAGTCTCATGGACGGCTGGATCTATCCCGAATGGGATGATCCGATCGGTCCGATCAGTGATGGTCAGTTGAAAATGGACTTGAATCTGTCTTACATTGCAAGAATTCTCAGATTTTCATGGTTCATCCATTTTCCCCAACATGTTACATGTGTGGGTCCTAAATCCACCCCATTTAAATCCCAAGTTGGTCACTGCTGGAATCCTTTTGCCAGGTGTCCTCCCCAGTAGAAGTTGTCACCCACATTCACCACGAAGTCGGGAGGCCTTGATGCTGCCTTGCCACCGAAACGCAAGGAGGGTCATATCCCACATTGTTTCAGGTATGATTGCTACAATGTGAGGCCCCCAAGATAGCTAAGTTGGTTTATAACTCCAATAACTATGGTTTATGGTATTTATAACTATACTTACTGGGGCTTAAAAACAAACTTATATCTTGGGGGCCTCAAATTGTATAATGATACCAGTAGTGGGAATAGTTGCATACCATGGGATGATTAATGGGAATATTAATTGGGATATATCCAATTGATAAGACAGTAATCTTCATCCACGCATATTCCATTACTATTACAAACAAATCCCATTCATCTTGATTCAGGATCAGTATGGGGAAGTTGACCAAACTAGTATGGGCGTATGAATATGATTCACATGGGCATATATTGGGATATAACTAAAACTGAATATAGGATATAGGACATGAACAGAATATATCTGGGTGAAAAACTATAATAATTCACTTCTCTGAATAGTTTGGCTACATTGGGATAGTTCCCCCTACAATTCTCAGTCGCAGTGAGGTCGTTATAATTTATCCAGAATCATGATTCCTGGATCCGAAAACAATGTTTCTACCACCATAAAATATCATATTGGCAAACACAACTCCAATTTCACGAATGGCTTCATGGTCATAAAAAAAGTTCAGAACGGGATCAAAACCGTTTAAAATTGTTTTTCCAACCAGCGACATTCAGGCGCTCTTAAAAAATGTTGCTTCGGAACCAGCAACCAGAGTCAACCAGAGTGGATGATCCACCTGTTTTGAGGCCATGGGATTTGAAGAGCTGCGGTGGTGAGTTCTCAACTATAAAAATAATATATGAAATGATCATTAAAGCTTTACCACATCCAATATCCATCACATATGAAAATAATGATCATTATTCATGAATAAAAAAGTGATTAACACCATATTCATGATATTCATTGTTTAACGATCTATCACATCACCAGATTATAAAAATTAATGATATTCAACAAATCCCTATGAATTCCTGCATCGTTGATATAGCTCGGTACATGGATGGCCCCAGCCCTTGGTCATCCATGTCCCTTGACTGGACCAGCCATGACGAGTTTCCAAAACTTCCATATATAAGTTGAGGGCATTCAAGATACCCAAAACCAATGGCACAAACAAATGGAAGCAATTCAACAACTTGAAACATCCAAAAAATCAGGTCTTTTCGTTAAGTAACTTAGTTAACTTGGATTATTTTTTGGCTACCCCCATGACTAAAACGGAAACATCTCCACTGCGACGTCGAAGGACACGTTTCTTCATCTGCGTGGCGACGGCCAGTTGCGCTTGCCTTTCAGCCAAGCTGGGAGGCACAGCTGATCTAGAGTTGCTTGGTGCTACTTTTGGAGACATAGAGATATCATGATACAATGGGGGGTAATATATATATGTATATATATAGTAATTATATATATAGTAATTATATATAAGATGATAAAGTACTGGATATTATGATATATTCTAAACTAACAACTAGTGTTATGTATATATATATATATGTATGTATTATATTCTATGTACTATATATATATATTATATTCTAATATATATATATATATATTCGTAATAGAAATATAAATGATTGTACAGTAGATTATGTAGATCCAGGTCATCTTTTTCCATCCAATGGTCCACAGCGATCCCACCATATGACGAAATGCCACACGGAAGTCAGCAATTTCTGGACATATCGCACTTCACATGTATCCACACATTGATAGCTATTTATAGTGAGTTTTCCAATGAAAAATATGGTGATTTTCCATAGGAAAATGGGCAGACATAGGAAAATCCATAGGAAAATTGCTATTTCACAAGACTATGAACCAAAGCACTGAAAAGAGAACGTCCCAGTTTAGGTAAGTCGGCACGAGAGGTCTGAAAAAAATCCATTACCACGAATATCAAATAACCTCTTTGAAACCTTGCTTTAATATTGATATATTATTGGATGTATTCATTTTTTGGGCCCATATGTTGGTATATTGGTGGTATCTAACCTTGGGAGGGTAGGATTGACGATCTGCCAGGTACAACCTTGGAAGATTGGAGAGCACCACTTAAACGAGGACACCATAAATCTGCTTCACTTGGTTTATTAAATTATCATCCGCTCAACATTAATCTTTCACTGGAATATATGCTAAATTCATGAAAACACATGATGGATAGTGGGGATGTGACCATCAAACATGGTGAAAGATAGGGTTTGACTGTCGAGAAAAGGAACAAACAAATACCGCCAACACATTGGGACATGGCAACTTTGACTTTAAGAGGAAACCCAGTGGCCTTTAAGCACTTGATTTCGGGGCACCCCATTTTCAGACAACCCCAGGTACACCCCAGGTACAAGGAGGTAAATCGGTAAATAATCCAACCGCCCCCTAAGTGGCTATCATTTTTCTATAGAATGGCTTTCCCGACATTGTGGGTTATGATAACCCCCGATAAAGTAGCTAGTATAAGTCCCAAGAAATTACCCCATCAACCATGGCAAACTGCCAGGGATCCGCCGGCCCCACCTGTCCACATCTGCTGTGAAGTGACAACTCTTATCGCACATGTCTCCTCGAGTTCCCCAAATAGGGCTGGCTACCCAAGATCGAAAACGATGGCCTTTGGGGTACCCAATTGTGAGAAACACTACCGGTAGAATGAACAAACTTGGAGGCCATG